TAAAATTAAGTTAATTACTTAATAATTTATGCTGTAAAAATCTATTCAAAGTTTATAAAATTTAGTAAAAATATTATTTATTTCAAAATACATTATATGTGGTGGGAAAATTTACTTAAATAAATTATTGTTCAAGCTTCTGAAGGAGAAAAATTTCAGTGGCATCAATTATTGTAATGACTTTCGAAGAGGAAAACAGTAGCTTCAGCTATTGTAATGATCTTCATGAGAAATTTTAACTATATCGAGTACTATAAATACTCTTTAAGGAAGAAATTCGATGGCATCAACTATTACAATGCTCTTCGAAGAACAGTGGCATCCATTACTGTAATTCTTTGTATACAGAAAATTTTCGTGGTCTCAACTATTGTGGATATTCTTCAAAATGGGAAATTTTAACAGCATAAACTACTGTAAAGCTATTAAAAAAAAGAGATATAATGACATTAATTGTCGCAAAAAGTTAATTTAGTAGTGTCAACTAATGTAAAAACATTGCAAAGAGAGAAATTTTAGTGGTATCAGATATTATAATGCTATTCAAGGAGGAAAATTTTAGTGTTAGCAAATAACACCAAGTAAATCTTCAAGTAAAATCTCTTCAAATAGGAAAATTTCATTGGCATCAACTATTGTAAAATCCATTTCAAGGAGGGAAAATTTACTTTAATAAATTAAATTAAAAGTTTAAATGTAGTTAAATGTAAAAGCTTTCAAGGAGAGAAATTCAGAAATAGCGACTATCACAAAATTAAACATTAGTAATTTATTTTCCAAAATTTTAGTTAAATAAATTATAATATTAAAAGATTATTAATATATTATAATGTTTTAAAATTAAGTTTATAACCTAATTTTAAAGTATTTTAAACAATTATCAAGAAAATAAATAAACTGCAGATGCATTTTTTAATGGTCGTAAACATTTTAAAGAAAGATTGAGTTTAATCACGATTAATTTCTTATCCAAGGAATTTGCGACCCCGATATATGCGTATTGTTTTCTTAGGTTTTCAGTATATTTTAATGAAGTTTTTAGTAAAAATCTGTTACGAAACGTTTAGAAAAAGTCATTATATTCGATAAAATAGCATGATATATTCAATAAAGGTATATTGTATGAAGTACCTTCTTCTTCAGATCAGCTATGGACAATGGAAAGATATACAATTATTTAAACTCAGTTTACTGAAAAAAATTAATAAAATAAGAATATTTTTAATTGAAATTATTTAATTTCTTACATAAATCTACCTCAAATTATTTAAAATTTGAAATATATGTTTAGAATTGTTTGAATCATTATATGAAAAATATTGGAATAATGGAAAAAAATGGTACTTCCTATACTTTTTATATGGATATTCCAATATTAAGTTAAAAGAAATCGAACGTGAAATTTCGAACAAGTAAAGAAGAAATCCTTCAGTTTGAAGTGAATGGGACATCGATTGATGCTTGTTATTTCAAGACATGATTTGTCTTTTCACTTTGTAGGTATCTTTGAAGATATCGCAAAGTAATGTCAATCGAAGAGGAAATATGGCAGAAAATTCAACTTCTTTTCTACAAAAATTTGAAACCTTTTGAAGAGCATCTCTTATCTTTAACAATCTGATGTTAATCACCCTTTAAGATTATCATCTAAAAAAAAATCACTTAAAAATTTCTAGTAAATTTTTTCAGGGATATTTTTGAAAATTAGCTATACCTTTCTTTTAATTTTATTTTTAAAATAAAATATTCTAGAAAGTAATTAGNTATTATCTAAAAAAACTTATCACTTACTCGGAAAAAAATCCATAAACAAACAATGGGAAGCAATAATTACTTTTAGTTATTGCGTTAATTGAACGTTAAATTAGAATGCTTTCTAGTACAATGGTTATTGATAAAATGTATTGTTATATACCCATTTATCTCTATCGATTGGTGTAACATGAACCCCCTAATAAATTGGCTTTGATTAATGCCAACATGATCATTCTTCTATAGCAATATTGATGATGCAATCTTATTTTATATCCTAAGGAAATATTACTAAAGATGCTTCCATCATCTAACTTCCTTTTTAATAATCTTCCAATGCTACCCTAGGGCTAAGAATTTGACTCTTAATCGCTTACTTTTTTTCTACTTATGTTTGCCTTTCCTGCTATTAAACTACACGATAATGAATATTTTAGTTGAAGAAAATTCACCCAATATTATTATTTCTAATGAGTAAACGTAAAGAAATGTAAACTTCATCCAATTTTATTGAGTCTAACAGATGTACTAAAATTCTAAGCAATTTTCACTTTCCCGACTGTTATATAACAGAGGAAAAGTATGGCGACCCTCCCTCCAAGATTTTTAATTTTTGGACTCAAGAAACGTCGAAAAATGCAAAAAAGTTGGGTTTTTTTTTCCTCCTGTATATAGGGGTATTAGCGTGTTTGTGTGACGGACACGACTTTTTTCACTCACTTCGAAGCTTAATAACTCCTGTGTGTTTTGTCGAAAATTTCTGAAATTTTGCACGAAGGTTTGTATATTATGGAAAAATATTTGTAGAAAGTTCCAGTAAAATCGGACTATTAGTTTGGGAAATATGCCCTCCCCTCCTGAACCAACCTGAAAATTTTAAAGGTAGTGGTAACAATTATTAGGACGGAAAGGTCCAGGAATATTTTTAGAATTAAAAGAATAATTTAGAAATAATATATGTTTAATTAAAATGTAGAATAATAAAAAAAATATATATACTAGTTTAAATTTATTTATATATTTTTGGTGTTTTTAGAAGTCGAATATTTAAAATTTGAAACTTCGTCGTTGCAATCCAACTTTATCCTTTCTTGAAGCTCTCCAATCATCTTTCTTTACATAGGGGATGCAAAAATATGTAGGATTTATCTACACTGGACTTGAAAACTCTGTTTTTTTTTAATATGTCAAAAAAACACAACATTAGTGAGTAAAAGAAAATATTTGCTATGCTTTATTTAGAGATGAAATGGCTAAAGATTACGTGTAAATATTTTTTAATCCTTATAAAAAAACATTTTCATATATATTTAAAATTTTTAGATGTTTTAAAATTAATTTTAGACTCTACTAATTCTCAAAAATAATCAAAAAATATGTAGAAAATTATATAAACAAATTTTATTTAAAGTCTAAATGATCGAAGAATACATTTGCTCTTTAAATTCTTCTAAAAATTCTTTATAACCTGTGTAAACCGGTCTCTTACGGTACCGAATATTTTTTCTGTTTAGGCAAGTTTCCATTTTGAACAGTTTTTTAAACAGAAAATCGCTGTGTTCCTAAGAATTTTCACCCGTTTAGACAGGCTTTCGTTTTAAACAGGTTTTTATCCACAGAAAATCGCAGTAGCCCTATAAATTTCCCCTATATAGCAAGTTCCTTTTATTAAGGTCCGCTTTAGACAGGTTTTTACTATATATATTAATTCTCAGATATTTTTAGATTAATTTTACATTTTTCTAAGCTTAAAAACACATAGAAAATTACGTTAACTATATCATAAAATTAGAATGTTTTAGAAGCACATCTTTGTATATAAAATATATAAAAATATATCAAACAAATTTAAAATATAAATTAATTTAGAATTAACATAAAAATAAAAATATTTAAATGCATTTTTTGTTGATTTTTCTGAGATATTATACTATAATAAGAAGTGTTTAAAGCTAGAAAATNAATTATATAAACAAATTTTATTTAAAGTCTAAATGATCGAAGAATACATTTGCTCTTTAAATTCTTCTAAAAATTCTTTATAACCTGTGTAAACCGGTCTCTTACGGTACCGAATATTTTTTCTGTTTAGGCAAGTTTCCATTTTGAACAGTTTTTTAAACAGAAAATCGCTGTGTTCCTAAGAATTTTCACCCGTTTAGACAGGCTTTCGTTTTAAACAGGTTTTTATCCACAGAAAATCGCAGTAGCCCTATAAATTTCCCCTATATAGCAAGTTCCTTTTATTAAGGTCCGCTTTAGACAGGTTTTTACTATATATATTAATTCTCAGATATTTTTAGATTAATTTTACATTTTTCTAAGCTTAAAAACACATAGAAAATTACGTTAACTATATCATAAAATTAGAATGTTTTAGAAGCACATCTTTGTATATAAAATATATAAAAATATATCAAACAAATTTAAAATATAAATTAATTTAGAATTAACATAAAAATAAAAATATTTAAATGCATTTTTTGTTGATTTTTCTGAGATATTATACTATAATAAGAAGTGTTTAAAGCTAGAAAATCCTGATTTATTAAGCAGAAAAATTATACTTCTGGTCATAAAAATTTACAGATAAGAACAGTTTTATTTTTAGAATTTATTATTATTATTATTATTTCCTAAGAGTTAAATAATTTAACTAAAAATATAATTNAGCGTAAAAATACAAAATTTTTTGGATTTTATAATTCAAAAAGTACAAGAAATTTTTTCGATTTTATAATTGAAAAACCAATAAATTTTTTAGGTAAAAATTAAGGTAAAAAATTAGGTAAAAAAATAAACAGAAATTTTTTAGGTAAAAATTTCTGTTTATTTTTTTTAATATTTTAAAACATTGTTTTAAACTTTAAAAAAAATTCTAGTTCATTTTCAATCTTTAAATTATCTAAAAAATCGCTAAAAGCTAAGGTCCAAATGTAATATTTTTGCCATAGGCTCTAGGCTTTTTAAGTAATAAAAAAAGATTTTTTTAGATTTTTTTCTAAAATAATTTTTTAGATATTCTTCTTATTTATAAAATCTTCTATCGTGTTTAAGCTCTTTTCCTTATAACACATCAACAAGACATATAGAAATTTAAAAAAAAAGTAAGAAAGACACGTCCTGTATGTCTGTCGTTCGTTAATTAAAAGAATTGATTACATAATAGTTTAATAACAGAGATTATAGCAAATTAATGAAGAACAGGTTGTTAATAGGTTAATTGACTATATTATTGTATAATGACTATGGTAATGAATGTACGTTTAATGAAGTTAGTTTCAGTAATTTGTTAACGAAAATGGAGTTGAAATTTAATTTCGTTGGCGAAATAATAAATTTATTAAGCAATAATAATAATAATAATAATAATAAATAAATGTTGTTACAGGATGTTATCTATTTTAGAATTAATCTGTAAGCTATTGCTTTCGAAATTCATTACTCGTTCGTTCGTTTGTCTATCCGAAAGACTTTTTCGAAATTATGAAATAGATACATTTTTAAAATGTTTTATTCCATCTGTTTGTTTGTCTTTTGTAAATTTACTATAAAAGTGTTAGATGATGGAATTAGTGACGATATATATGGAAATGGCCTCTATAAAGTCAAAATATACATGTAATTATTTAGGAAGAGTTTAGCCATTCTGTTCAAAAAGTTACACTTGAAAAATCGTCTATATTATTAATTAAGTAGCCATGAGTTTATGTTAGTTTTTTGTAAGGTATCTCTTTCACGTACTGAGAGTGTTGCGTTTGTGTTTAGACCATTTCTAACCATAAAAATGTTTACAATATCGACTACAACTAATTTAAATGTTAAGCCATGTTTTCCTTATCTCTCGGGGCATCTTTCCGTTCACTATAACATTTATTCATTCTTAAAAATGATCGAAAACTGCTAGAAAGTCACAATTTGTTTGTTTCCTCAATTTAATTCGACAACAAATAGTTCTCGCACGAAACAATCTGACTCAGCTTATCTTACTAGTGATTTGCATTATTGATGAATAATTTCAAAACGAATAAGACTGTTCAATAAGTTTTAACTATTTGAATAAGACAAATATACAATTAACTATTGTGTCGAGGAGTATCCACTCATTTGAGAGAATTTGACAGGAAAAGATTTAAGTTGTACCTAGTTTCCTATCCTTATATATCTCACCTTTTATCTGTTAATAGTTTCATTGTACATTTAGTTCCACTTCTGATGTAATCAATCTGGCTTATCCTACTTTTCTTCTCCTCCTTGTTCCCAATATAGCATTATCTTATATAAAAAGCCTTTATGCTATCTATATTCTCTTAGCTTAACATATTTAACATGTTATAAACTAAATAAATACATTTCTGGTTTGTTACTATCGTATTATAGTTGTATGATCCACTTAAATACTACTCGAGGTAACAACTTTTAAGAATAATTTTTTTTTAATGTAGTGAATAAGACAAAACAGTAACAAGAACATACAATGAACAGTATATTAATAACAATAATTAAATAATAATAATGTTGTTATTAAAGCAGATAATGTGCTTGTTACATGGAATAATGATAGTAAATAAGACAAAACAATAAAACGCAAACAATACAATAACAAATAAATAAACAATATAGTAACAACAATAAACAAACTACACAGAAATACAGCATCGATAGCAAATTAATTTGCTATTTATATTGTTTATTATTATTGTGTTGTTTCCTTGTTATGGTTTTTTTATACAAATGACAACAACAATTAAACAAATAACAACAGTAAACAAATAAATAAACTACACAGAAACACTACAACAATAACATTAATTTGCTATTTATATTGTTTGCTTATTTGTTATTGTTGTGTTGTTTCCTTGTTTTGTTTATTTATTTACGTTGTTTATGTATTGTTTTTTATATACAAACGACAACAACAATTAAACAAACAACACACCAACAGACAAATAAGACAATAACAGATAGCACCACAATAGTAAACGATACGATTGTGCACGTTATATTTATAGGTGATTACACTCTTTCATAACTTTCAACGGTGTTAATAACACTTGGACTGTTTTATCTTAAGAATTTCTGGAAATATCCGAATGAAATCATTGCACGAGGAATTGACTTTATTTCTTACAGAGATTTTATTAACTTCAATAATTTGATATTAATAGTTAAGAGTAAGTAACGAGCGAATGAATGAATGGCTGTTGCTTTCAACAGCACCTCCTACCGGATAAATTTTGCAACGGAGCAGTGCTGTGTCAGCCGCGGGACAGGGAACTAACAATTCACTATGGACATTATTGGAAAGGAATTACGCTTCCTCTACCTCTTTAATAATTTTTTAATTAATAAAAAACCTAACTAATGGAATAAATGGATTGATTTTCCAACAGATAGTTAATAAGTAAGTAATTAAAAATGAAAAAAAATATAGTAACTTAAATGTAAATTTATAAATAATTTTTAAATGTTATACAATATATAAATATATAAATA